TTTTTCATCAAAATATGCCAAATCATGAAACTTGTTCACCAAGAAATCACAAATTGCAAATTAGGGTTAGAAAATGGAATTTTTCATAACTTAGAATTTTTCTAAGTTATGAAAAACCCTAATTTTTTCCCAACTTTGCCCCACCTTTTCACCAAGATCCATTTGGATTCAAACAAAAGTCAAAACATGAAAGTTGTAGCTTGTTGCATAGTCTACAACTTTGATTCACAAAGTTTTCTCATTTGAAGCTTGTATCTCAAGTTACAATTTTTTGAATAAGGGCACTAAACCATTTTTAACTTAGTAGAATTTTAACCTATTTTGACAAGGTTTTCTACCCCACTTCAAGGCCATTTTTCATACACTTCCACTTGGAATTTCAATTTGCATTTCAAAGATGGATTGTAGCACACTTTCCAAGCTTTCCAAAATGTCCAAGAACTTCTCAAACAACCTCATGGTTAGGGAGAATCGAATTTCACAATATAGCAAAAAACCACTTTGTTCATGACCAAGTTCCATGTCCATAACTTTGCAAATTTGAACTCAGCATGCTTTAGGCTGGATTACAGGTCCTTAAACCAAGTTACACTCCATAATTTAATGCTTGTTCATTGTGCCAAAGTGTTATTCCATGAGTTCAAGCATTGTACACAAGATTGATCCATTTTTAGATAAAGTGAACTTTCCATTTTTGCAAAAGCTTGCTTTATGTCAATTGGTAAATCAAAGAAGTACATTGCAAATCTGAATGGCACAAGATTATGGACAAATTGCTCTGATCAAGAGAAGATTATGCAGCCCATTAGGAGGCCCCCTACATGCCTAGAACATCAAGTGGCATTTTGTTGCTTAAGAAAGAAGAAAGTCCCATTTTTTGTAAGAACTCTCATACCAGCATTAGCACACAAGAACAAACTTACCAAACACACTCAAGACAACATAACCAAGCTGTGACACGAGCCATTTGCCTCAAAAACACCCTCCATCTCAGAATCATCCTCAAACTGCAAAAACAGGGTTGCCTCTGCAGTTTGAGTGCAAACTCCCATTTCCCTCGAGCATTCTTACCAAAATCAATTCATACACATCCCCTAGCATGTATGCAAGCTAACCATGACCTAAAACCTGACCTGTAATCCCTCTAACAGTTTCCACCATTTTCATTTTTTCCTTTTGCAGTTGAAGTTCCATAGCTTGATTCAGAAGCTTTCAAGACAAAGTAAACATTGGAACAGCATCCCTGGACCTCAAGGAAGCTTTTCCAATCATCACCTTGCACTGAAAGTTCCTCATTCTCCAGATAGAAGTTCAACTGAATAGGTAAAATTTTGAACTCGTATCTCTCTTATTATGCATTTTTAGTCTTAAGTTTGTGAAGAAACAAGGTTCTACTCATAGCCCTGAGCATGTCCATATCTTTACATTTCATTTCTTTTGCCTGAGTTGAGAGAATTTAAGCTTTGAAAATGGCAGAAAACTTAGGTTAAGATTTGGGATCATTAAAATTCTCTCTCATTCTTGAGAGTTAGGAGATGTTTTTTATATATTTGGAATCGTGGGTTCATGCTTAACATCTTTTGTGTTGGAAGTTTGTTCAAAAAATCAAAGGATCAGGAGTTAGGAACTTGAGAAGCAGGCGCGCGTTTTTTTGAAATTGGTTGTCTGAAGGTTGAAGATAACAGCTTCCTGGGTTGGGCTTGTTGTTATTTCTTTTTGCACCTTGGTTTTGCTATTACACCCCCCAAGCCCATTTGTCTTATTTTTAATCCTTTTTGACTTTTTCTTTTTTTGTTTGACTTGTTTATTTTTTCTCAGCATATTAAAATTTTGAAAATAATTTTCTCGTCATTTTTTGATTTTATTTGGTATTTATTTGATTTTCTTTTGATTTATACATATATGGATATATATTATTATTTAGGATAAATAGAAAAATAGTGTAAATACATTCTTATTTTCATTTTTTATTTTATATTACCCTCTGAAAACATTTCATACAAAAAATACTATTTTCTAAAAAATATCAAATATTATTATTATTATTTATCCATGATACATATTTAAAATAATGTATATAAATACATATTTGTTAATATACTTAGAATAAAATATCAAATAATGTACATATTTTATTTTATTTTAATATTTAATACTAAAAAAGGCCTTTTTATAAATATACTATATTTTATTTTATTTTTGTATGCAAATAATAAATATTATGTGAATTAATTAATTAATATACATTTTGATTAAAATTAGGGTTTTTGCCCTAAATATGAAAATACTCAAAAATAATACCTTTTTATTTTCTTATTTTATTTTACACAAACAACATTTTTTTCATATATATAAAAACTTTCTTTTGGCATTTTTGCATATTTATTTAATTTCTATTTAATTATGCAATTTATTTACCTTGCAAATATTCAAAAATGATGTAATAATTTAGATTTAAATTCTTGTCTAAATATTCCCCATTTGTAAATTTGTACCCCCCTCCCTATATTACTATGTTGTAATAGCGTAGGAATTTAAATTTCGCACTTTATACGCTTTCTAATTATGCCATGTTAGAATTAGGGTTTGCATGCGAAAAACGATAAAAAATAGTTTGACCTAATACAAGATAAATGAGCATGGAAATAAACAACACATCTCACACTTGCACCCCTAGGGTACTCCACTTTGTTGCCTTCAAATAAATGGGCCATGTTGTATGTTGAATTTCTTTGGGCAAAGCAAACAAATTGAATGATCATAGTCCCTCGATAAAACTTTTCAAAACAAAACAAAAACAAATGATCAAGTCCCTTAAAGAAAATTGCCCAAAGACATTTAACGCCGTTGCAATTATGGTCCAAACGATGACCCGCGCCTGTCCCTTTCATCTCCTAAGACAAGATTGTCCACCAAATGCAATGGTGGAACAAAATTGTCAAAAGGTTTAAAAACATAACAAAAATCTTTGAGAAAACTTTAGGGTAGATAAACTCTTAAGTACTTGTCAATTTGCAAAGAAAACACTTGCCTAATTTCCAAACCCACTTCACAAACACTTTCAAAATCAACTTTTCAAACCCTTGAAACATCTTTTTTTAAAAAGATAAAACACCTTTTGTAAAACATTCGAGTAAAGAATTGTTACAAGGTTAGCCTAGCACAAGGCATCTTTTCAAAACATTTTTCAAAACCACACACAAAACACCATTTCAAACAATTGAAAACCAAGGCAAGTTGATCTAAGCAAGTACCTAAGAGCCCATGGATAACCATGGATAGAAGGGGTGCTAATACCTTCCCCTTCTATAATCTACTCCCCGAACCCAAGAAAAATCTCAAAGGTTTTTGCTGTGCTTTTTAAACCTTTCCTTAGGATAAAATAAAAAGTCGGTGGCGACTCTTGCTCAACCGAAACATTTGCGAATACGAACGCAAAACACTAGTCAGTTCTCCCACCGTATCCACACTCTCCAACAAAATATGATTTATTTCAATTTAAATTCAAATTTGAATATCCATTTAAATCTGAATTAATCTTCATCCAGGTGTCAAACGAATCACCTAATCGTATTTCTAAATCAATAGCTATAAAGTCTGATCCAATCTTAGACCAGAAACTCTTCCAAAATGCAACAATATTGACTTGTTGTGTAAGACCCAAATGTTGTAGCAACATAATGGAACATTGTGTTCAGCATGTGTCTCTTCTGCACCTTCATATAACTTAAGAAAGCTATATTAATCTTGAACACTTCTTTATGTTGTTGTTTTGCAACAACAAAAAAACAGCCAATACATCCAATCCAAAAGGAACTTCAATATCTCCCTTTGGAGAATTATGGAAAAATAACTCTTCAAGATATATCACTCATTCAGAATATAACAAATGACAACCAATATGGATATTGGACTATCAGAGCATCCAATCAGCATTAGCAGCCTTCTTTCAATCATCAGAGTTAAGCACAACAGTAGCAGCAAAAATCAATAGCATCAACAACATTCAGATGCTTACATATAACCCATTAAGTTACTCCAAACCAAACAGACAATCAAACATGCAATCATTCATATACTTAGTCATGCATGTACCCTGTTAGCACATAATTAGTAGCATATAATCCTACCAACTAAAAATTACTAGCATGCAATTATTCACATACTTAGTCATGCATAACACAAATAGTTAGCAGTTAGTATCAGGATATGCAAGAAACTACTAACGTGAAGGCTCATTAAAAGGGCCAAATGTTTGCCCATTGCTCTAACATTAAGCACATCATTATAACTTACCAGATTAGGCAGTACTAAACAATTACTTGTTACATGTTAATTAGCCAATGTTAACATAGATCACACCATACCATTACTCCTCCTTTTTGTCATAATTTGGAAAAGGGTTAGTTATTCAAAATAGCATCTAGAAGTCAGTCATGCAGAGGTCAGTATGTTAGTATATACACAATCATATCATGAGTAGAACAACTAGAATTAGCATCAACATATCCATAAGCATTATGCAAACCAGTCTTATAGAGGTAAAAAAGCCTTTACAATTCCAGATGAAGGAACCAATAAAAACATGTCCAAATATAAGGATCAAAATATTGACATAGAAACTTCTGGAGACAACTCCCCTCAAATTTGGTCTTCAATACAACCTCTTGAGTTCATGAAGGTGACCCAATCATCATCTGTATCTGAGTCACTATCTTGCACATGAAGGTTAATTTCTAAAAAAAAATCTTCATTATGTTGGCACAAATAGGGTATTCATCCATCTGATGCAGATTGAACTTAAGAATACACGATAGTCTTGGAATCCATTTGATGACTTCAATACGCGCAATAGGATCATAGAAACCTCCATCTTCATCAACATATATCATATATATTTTTGATTCAACACTTTCAACATTATGAGTAGTCATCTTATTTATAGATTGAGTGTTCTTAGAAATCAATCTATACTCCTCGCCTTCAGTAGCACCCATGATTTAATTCACAACTTCAAATGGATTACCATTGTAATTAACACCACCATCAGCTATACCAATATCAACCTTAACATATTCATGAACATGATCATCATTCTCCTTATGTACTTGAGGCTCTATCAACATGTCGTACAGGATGTCTGTAACATCCTTATCACCATCAAGATTTCTTAAATTTGTTTCTTAGGAATCTTTACCATAAGACATTAGAGTGTCATAAATATTTCTCATATCTCCACCAGTAGCTAGATCAGACTTAAAATCAAGTGGAATATTGTGGAGAGAAGTATCTGATACATACATCTTGCAGCTAGACCTCAATACACCAATTTCAGCTTCACCAAACAACCTATCATTTTATTGGTTAATCATACCTCTATAATCATGAGAATACATAACATTACTACTTATGCCATAATTGATATTCTTCTTTGGCTTCTTCTGAATCACTAAAGGTTGTTCAAAATTGGAAGAACCTCCAGCCTGACCATCAGCCTTCCCTTTCATGAATCAATCCTCATGAGATAATTCAAGATCCTAATTAAGATGTTGAAACATCTTCTCTAACATCTTGGTTGGTGTTTCCTTTTTTATTATTCTCTTTATCAATCTTGAGACCTTGATAACTCATGTTGTCTTCCTTGGATATTACCTTCTTCATAAGAACTTATTTACCCTTGTTGGTGTCACCACCTTTGGATTTGTAGAAGTTCATTTCCCTCCTTTGATCACATGGATAATTTATGTTGTTCACTTTTTCCATTGAGATTCTCCTTAAAAGCATCTCCTCGTGACTGGAATTGGTCACATTCCTTAAGCCATTGATTTTTCCCTTTGCTTTTTTGCCAAGTGTGACATGAACTATCTTTTCTCTAGACATGTCCTTGGTAACCCCGACATCATAATACCGTTATTCACTTGAGGAGCCTCTACATGCAGTAAGAGTCATGGAGCCATTTAGAGTAGTATTGTGTTTCCGCTTCTTCTTCTATCCTCTGACCTTCAGCTTCATTAAAATATCATGTCGAGGATATCCATGTAGTTCATAGTAATAAGGTTAAATGTGTCCAAATTTACCATAGTGGTGACATTTCATAGGCAGTTTCTTGATGCTAATTTGAAGAGGTGTCACATGTTGCACATGATGTTGTGACATATTGTCCAACCTTAGAATTGTTGGCTCCTTTTCAGGTAGAACAACCTTCTATGAGGAAATCTTCATCTCTTTTGTGCTCGTCCTAAAGCATATTCTCCTTCTATCTTTAGCCATCTCTCCGAACTCCATCATTTCATCAAGTGAATTTGAACTATTTTTCAAATTACTTTCAAACTGTTTCAAGCTTCTATTTTTGGAGTTTAGTGAAGAAACATTTTTTCTACACCTGTGATGGTTGATGCCAACTTCTCTGTTTCCTTATGAAGAATTCATATGGTTTTATTCTGGTTATCTATTGTTAAGTACACTTATTCCCACTTGGTGTGAAATAGCCTGAATGATGCATCAAGCTCTTATCCAGTCAGGTATTTATAACTAAACTCACCTTTAGACTCAGATCTACCAGAATAAGACATCACATTGTTGGCAGTTTCTCCCTCATTTTCATTATCAGAATCAGACCAAGTGATGGATAATCCTTTTTTCTCTCTCTTTAGAAAGGTAGGACATTCAACTTTAATATGTCCAAATCCTTCACATTCAAAGCACCGAGTACCCTTACCATCATTTAGTTTGTCTTCACTCCTGTTATTGTTCTAGGGACTAATGTTAGACCTCTTGTCTTGGACATTTGTCATCCATTTTCTATTCAGATACTTCTAGGAATTGTTAAACTTTCCTAATAAGAGCTATAACATCTGACAAACTCTCTCCTTTATCATATTGACTTTCTTCCTTAGTGTTGGAAACAAAGGTTGCACCTTTATTCTTCTTTTCAGTCATGTCATTAATTGAAATCTCAAAGGTTTATAGTAAACTAATGAGTTCATCAACCTTAATGTTGCTAAAGTCCTGAGCTTCTTCAATAGCAGTCACTTTCATATCAAACCTCTTAGGCAATATTTTGAGAATTTTTCTGGCAAGATTTTCTTTGGACATCTTTTCTTCTAAGGCAAAGGAATTTTTGGCAATATCACACAATATGATGTGGAATTCACTTATATCCTCATCTTCATTCATCATTATATTTCAAAGCATTGACATATAAACTTTGTATGTGCCTTCATGTATAGTTTTGAGAATCCCACATTCTTTTTTAGCCTCTGAACATACAAACTCTGTATGTGCCTTCATGTGTAGTTTTGAGAATCTCTCATGTTTCTTTAGCCTCTGAACATGTGTTGATCGACCTGAACATGTTCTTGTCCATGCCATTTAGAAAAGCACTCAAAGCCTTGAAATTTCCAAGAGCTTCATTATCTTTAACATTGGTCTAATCAACTTCTAGTTACAAACTGGTTGTACCATCTTTAGAGGTAATCACTATATGCTTTCATCCTTTTATCACAACTTTACATGCTTTGTTGCCCATAGATTTGAGAAAGATAATCATCATTTACTTTCAATAATCATAGTTAGTGTCATCTAAAATAGGTGGTTTGTTGACTGATCCTTCATCTATCATTGTGCCCGTTTGAGCAGAATTTATCTTCCCTGGAGCTCACCCAATAGGCTAGGGTGTCTACTCACATGCCAATTTTAATTTTGTTCCTCAAGGACAGATGTCGCATGCGATGTCCTGGAAATTGGTTTAACAATTTAAACCAAAATCACCATAACTTATACAAGATAATGAAGCATAAAAGCAATAAATAATGCAATCAATTGGTAATCCATTTTGATGCAACCTACATCTGAAGGGTTGGCTTCCAACCCAAGAAAGTGAATTCACTATTAAATTAATACAATTAGTCTTACAAGTAACAATTAAACCTATGTTGTTCAATGTATCTTTCTAACATTACCCAATGACTTTCTATTAGGATTGTCCCTAAATATGAGACGCCCTCTCACTTTCTCTCAAACACTAATCCCCTAGTGTTTGGAATATAATCACTAAACCTTAGTGATCAACTTCAATCACAACTATGAGTGATGTTGAATCTTACAACTCAACTATACAAACCTATAACTATGCCAAGTTACTGAAACATAATATGGCGTATATAAAATAACAACGACTCTTGTAAACCTAGCACTATAAGATCTTCAATGTGAATGCTTAAATTCCAATGTCGATTTGAGCTCCTTATATAGCATAATGATTATGGGATTTTCTTCATGGATATTTGATTTAATTTCATTCAGAAATAATGCATAATCTGTTGATATTATTTGTTCCATAAATATATCCAACAAGATATGTTGTGTTTCGATTTAAATTCAAATTTAAATATCCATTTGAATCTGAATTAATTTTCATCCAACTATCAAACAAATAACCTAATAATATTGTTAAATTAATAGAAAAAAATCATATACAATCTTTGACCAGAAACTCTTCCAAAATGCAACAACATTAACATGCTGTACAAGGCCCAAATGTTGTAGCAATATGTTGGAACATCGTGTCTAGCATGTGTCCCTTATGTACCTCCATACATCTTAAGCAAGCTAGATTAATCTTGAACACTTTTTTATGTTTTTTTAATTGCAAAATATAGCTAATTCAAATAGTCAATCCAAAAGGAACTTCACATCCAATACATTCTCTAATTTGCTAAGCAACTCTACATTGATGTTTTTTATGGATAAGATTAAAGAGTGTGTGAGATGCCTGCATCACCAGAACTTGAAAGTATATAGTTAGTAAATTTTGAAACAAAGAATGATGGAGAGATTTACTATGATCATAATAACAGAGATGATGAAGATATTGAAAATATAGTAATAATCAACTTTAGTAGTCAAGAACTATCATGCTTGCCAAAGACCCTTGATTATTTTTTTGATGAATTTGACCATGACATGAATACATCGACAACTATAGTTGCATTACATCCTTATGCTGCAAATATTCATTTGCCAAAAATGAAAGAGGTTGGCCTTCTAAAAATTGAGCCCACAATGTAAGTTTATCCCTTCCTTGTATTTTTATATTTGGATCTCTTCATGTTTTAAAATTATTTATAGTTGTATTATCTCTATTAAATTAATTAAGTTAATATGTAATTTATTTACCATTTATTTATGATTGTCACCATCATGTTTAAGTTATGCTCTCCATGATAATCACCCTCTCCTAACAGAGGTATGTGTCAATATAATAATAAGTTAAGCGATTGTTATGCACATATAATATGTGTGTGTACATGACGATCATTCCCCATATCTACTAATGAAATGGCTAAAAGGTATTCTTTTCATCTTTTTATAAGCTTGGTCATTGTTTTATATATATATATATATATATATATATATATATATATATATATATATATATATATATATATATATATATATATATATATATATATATATATATATATATATATATATATATATATATATATATATAAGCAAAATTGATAATATGATTAATGAATCATCTTGTGTATGACTATGACTAAATTGATTTGTATAAAATTATTCAATATAGAATATTACTAGAAAGAAAATTGTATTTTTAAAGAAAATATTAAGCACAAAATTACTTTATGTGTATTTTTAAATAGCGAAATTAAAAAGCTTTGGTGAATAAAACACATATGCCTTATAAGAGGAAGATAATAGTCAAATACTTCTAGTATACTTCTAGTGAGTTATTAAATAATGAAACTACTATTATATTCTGAATATACTATCTCTTATATAAATCAGAGAGAGTTATAGATTGAATAATTTATGTAAGAGAAAGGGTATTTTCCCTTACTTTTAAATTAATGATCTAAAACTTTAAAATTATTGTTGGTTTGACTCATAAAATATCTTGAAAAGTACTTATTGTGATTTTTGTAGGTTTTTATTGACTATGCTTCAATGATAAAACCGATTAATGTTTTTAGAAGTTTGTTATGATCTATAACGAGATAGATAACATATATTGGTATCGAGATATTAACCATTACAAGAGGTAAATAATTCGAATATGATATTATGTTTTAGTATTATTGATTTTTAGTACAAATAATAATTATTCTATTAAATATTAATGCAGGTATGTCAACTGAAAAAGTTAGAGAATTCTTCAATAAAAGTAAGTATTTTGGACTGAGCCTAAAGAATGAGGTTACATCAAGATGGTATGTAGACCGATAATTAAAAGCAATTAAGTATTTGGTTGGGGATCCTTCTCGATAATGGGCTCTTGACGCAACGACTCTCAAACGGGCACATCCTCGACACCTCTGAGATACTCGAGGATTACGATCTGGCCATCTGCCACGTAATAGTGGAGACCCTTCAGAGTCACATTCAATTCGACCGTAGGATTCATAAATCGAAGCTGCTTCACTGTGTTATCAAAGCTCCCCTCGGCAACGGCCAGAGCATCATCCAACACCAATTGTAGGCGAGTAACCAGATCAACTCGGATCTTCAAACCTTTGGCCTCTTCTGGCTCATCCTCGGTGGGAGTAGCTTCAACAGTCAAGACCGCCACCTACTCGTCAGAAGCCTTCTTCTCGAGAAAAAGCGTCTGTGATCCTTGGACAATTTCCCCAACCTGTCCTCCACTACCTTCCGGCAGTCTTCTCATTAACATACTCATTTTCTGCATCGGCCAGCTTCATTCACAGCTTCCCCACCTCGACCTCCAGGGAAGTACCCCCCTTAGCGTATGCCACAACCATCTCCAAGACCCTCATGACAGCCCCGACATCCTGTGCTAACGCTGTCCTATTCGCCGAGAAATCTAACTCTTCGAGCAGAAGGGATATATTCCA